TGGTCTAGGGAGGGCATCTTTCCTATAATAATTTCATCTCCTCCTTTTAAGAAAAAGAAGAAAGGTAAGACTGTTTTTCTTGTGTTTTCTGTTTTTCAAGTGCCTTTAACTCAAAATAGTCAACGTGGCAGAGTGGCACATTTTGGGGTGGCATGTTCTGAACTCCTTCACGTTCAGTAAGTCTGAGGTGGGGCTCACAATTTGAGTAGCAAGGCATAAAACGGTGCTTGCTGGATATAATCTAAAATTAAATATGCCTCACTAGTTTTCTCTAAAATACCATTCAACCTAGAACAGTTATATTCATGACTATCCCATTTTTTAAATTCCATATATATTTTCCAGTGTTATCACTGTTAATTCCTTAAATATCAAATTGCTGAGCACAGGGATATGCAAATCGTATTTTTTGAAATAAGTGTCTCTGTGAACATTTTAATAAATTAATGATTTATGTTCCTTCGTTGAGCATTATTCTGCTCAACGAAGCAGACTGTTTTATGAAGTTAAAGTAATCAAACAAGGAGACCATTAGACGAGGTGGTAGCCTATGCAAGCAAACCAAAACTTAAACCCAAGTCAACTCCTGTCAACGCGTCAAGGATATGAAGAGGCACCAGTCACAAACAGCCAAGTAAGCTTTCCCAAATAAGGCAACCACTTAAGCTACAGCCAATGAAATCACCTACTTGCTTCTGCATCTTCTCTACAAGAGCCTTGCCCCCAGCTCCTGTCTGTGGAGTGCTCCTAACCACTTCTGGTTTGGTGCTGCCCAATTCAAATCGATTTTTTCTCAAATAAACTCTAAAATTTTTAATATGCCTCAGTTTATCTTTTAACAATGATAATGGGAGCCTACTCCACAGCACCTGACAACACTGAACAGACCATTTAATTCCCTGACGGCAGAGCGAAGCTCAACAAAGAACGCGCCTTGTGTCTGAAGTCAAACAGTCCTTTTCTCTCCCATTTCTTTTTGATTACAATGAAAACCTTTTCATTTGATTAGAAAGCACTAACAGAACAAGTTCGGCGTTATGTGAAAAGGTTTAGTCGCCACCTCGTGGATAATAAAATAGCAACATCCAAAAACAATCTTCCTTCCATTTTCTGTACAAACTAGTGACTTAAAACCTCCAACACGGTTAATTTTCAAACTACTGAAAAATTTTTAACCACCCTGCTCAAAACAAGACAACAGGCCCAAAATGGCGCTGCCTATGCTAAGCTCCACTTCACCAAATCGAGACTTACAGTTTCAGCTCTCCCATGGAGAGACTCCCATGGAGTCTTAAACCAGTCAATGGGGAATCTGCTTGATCAGCACTAGTCAGGTAACCTGCCTGATAAGACCCTTGGCTTCTCGTAGAGGAAATAACCTTGCAATATTAACCCACTTTTTTGTCTAGTATAACTTCCTTTTTCCTGCTCCCTTCTGCCTATAAAAGCCTTTAATTTAGTATAGCTCCTCAGAGCTCCTTTCTATCTACTAGATTGGATGCTGCCCGATTCATGAATCATTGAATAAAATCAATCAGATCTTTAAAATTTAATCAGTTGAATTTTGTCTAATACTCTCCAATTATTTTTTAAATTGCCGCTATTTGGTAGACTCAAAAGAACACACCTCATTGTCAGACATGAGTTTAGAAAGAGGAGCAAAGGGCCTTTCAGAATGTCTGCAGCAGCAGCTGCTCAAAGCTGCCATCTCCCAACCAGGTGACTTCCTTGGAAGACACGATGCTCATTTCTGAACATGTAACCTAAGGTTTGAGTTACTTATATCACGTGTTACTTGAATTTTACTGAATTTCATCCTGCTTCCTTAACCACTCAACACCTTTTGGGGGGAATAAGAGGGACTCAAGAAATGTTTGGCCAGCGATGCTTCGCTGATACATCTAGTAATGTTGTCATGGATGTTGCTTAGTAAGAAGAAAGGAGTTGGGACAGAATTTCCTCCTCAGCAGTTCTTTGTAATAACCAGGGAGAAATAAGACAAATTCCAAAAGAGAACTGCATAAAAACCATAACAGAAATATCCAGACAATGGTTTTCTACTGTTTAATTGATCTCAAGGAAAGAAAAATCCAGATTCACAAAAACTTATATGTATTGTTTTATTCTATACAAAACCAAGCATACAATAATTATAATAGCAAATAGTGGATATGCTGAATATTTTCAGGCCATTTTGAGTGGTGCTCTGTACATGTACACGAATAAACAATAAATACTGCTTCTCTATTACCTTGAAATACAGTATCACTGAGAGTTTTATATTTTTATGTAACTACTCAGGTAAACAAGCATGAAGGAAACAGGAAATCAGCAATATTTAAATCACGTAAAATAGAAATTTTTATGTCTTTCTGGAAACTAACCTAATAGGCCTAAGAACCACTACAAACTATCTTCCTTTTAGCTATTAGTTATCATAAGATCAAGGATGTCCTCTCCCCCATCTTTTTGTCAAAGGCCACTAATCCCACCTACTCAAGTTAGTTACAAATCTTGTCAGTTTAGTCATTAAAGATTTGAGAAATAGTCTAAATCCAAACAATTGTAGCTAATACTGATATATTTTTATAGTTTATTTTTGTACATTTTTACAACTTTTCCTACTAACTTATTCTAAGCCTGAAGTTCTTCTTACATTCTCTAAACTTTTGGACTGTTTTATTTTTTTTAAAGATTTTATTTATTTAATTTTTTCCCCCCAAAGCCCCAGTAGATAGTTGTATGTCATAGCTGCACATCCTTCTAGTTGCTGTATGTGGGACTCGGCCTCAGGATGGACGGAGAAGTGGTGCCTCGATGCGCACCCGGGATCCGAACCCAGGCCACCAGCATTGCAGCGCGAGCACTTAACCACCAAGCCACAGGGCCGGCCCTGGACTGTTTTAAATACAACATTATGTAAACAATTCCCCAGAAATGAGGCACTTCTTAGAAATAGAATGACTCACGTCACTAGACTAGCAGGAGACTCAATGGCCTAGACTTGATGGACTGAATGAGTTCATGAATCAACTTTCCAATGTTGTCCACTTTTTCAAGCGGACATTTTCATGGCAAGATTCTTGTCTACAGCATTTAGTGCATTAAGATGTGTTAGATGTGTGTGTCAGAAATCATAAAATTAAAAGTGTGCTTGAGAACGTTAATGAACCTCTACTATTCATTAGGAGCTTTGATCCAATTACACTAATACTGGGTAAAATAAACCACCAACCTGAGGCAGAAAAGTAAACAAGCAAAGTCACTTTTTCAGGCTTTTAAAACTGACTTAACATGTGATGTTACGACTATTTCCCAAATTAAGCAACTAACTTCAATTCAAAGAGCAAGGAACAAATGTAACATCTGAGGCCTTACCTCTAAATTTCTTAATCATGATTGTTTTCAGCTCAGACATACACAAGGCAAGGAAAAGTAAACCATGTCACCCGTACCCTTCAAGATCTCCCGGAGCACCCACGTGGATGCATTACTGGGAAGGGCAGCAATTCGGTGTAAACCCTTCAGAATTAATATCAGGAGTATGTCTACGTATATAACGTGCTTACAGAGATTTATAGGCCCTGAAACTTCATAAAGAGTTCCATGAAAATCTGGCAGAGAAAGAATCACGTGTGAGGTGCCAGCTGTGTTTCAAGGACTAATCCATCAGCCCTCACAAGGAGCAGGGCAGGCAAGGAGCACATGGGGTGCCACTCAGGAAGCACAGGAAGGAAAGGTAAGAGCAGCACTGTGTTCAAAATACATGCACTGAGCACAACACTTATAGTATATTGAGAGCTACGCAAGTAACACCTGCCAGACGCACATCTTTTGTTCCTAGAAAAGGTTTAAAATCCTAGTGTAAGAGCATGCCTCCTCCAGTAGGGTGGTGTGAGAGAGAAAGAATGTAAGAGGGAATCTGCAAAAATCTAGAAATAAAGTCTTGGAAGAAAAAGACTCCCACAAAAAATTTTATATGTTGTTTAATATGATTAAAATCACATTTTAAGATGGGACTTTAATATTTAACTTTTGCCCATTATTTCAATTATAAATGCATCTTGTCCTTATGCCGTTAACTTACAAAATGCCTTGGACGATATTGACTGTTGTGTGAAAAATCTGCAAGCTATTATATATTTTCAGATGAAAAGTGCCAAGTTTTTCATTTGCCCCAAAGGTGAAAAAATAGAAACATGTATGTAAAAAAACAAATACAATAATCATTTAAAGGGATATAATCAGCTATAGTCATTAAAACATACTGCATATCAAGAGGTAGTCAACCAAAAGTTTTAAAGATATTCACATTAATATCCACAGAAATCACACAGCACAACTATGGGAACAAGTAGATGTTACTTAACTGCAGTTAAATAAGCATTTAGGAGAGCCAGGAAGCCATAGGACCAGATGAGGACGTTCAGGAGATATTCAGTAACTTTATTTATATTCCACTCCCCGCTCCAACTTGAAATGTGTCCTCTTCCCCTAACCCCCAGCAACATTATAAAATCCTGCTCTTGCGAATTAAAACACAACACTATTTGGACTACAGACAGCAGGATCCAGGTCCCAAATCAGTAATGTCATAACTACTAAATTCAAAGTGGTTCCGTGTGCATCCATCTGATTACAGGCCCTCCTTTACAAACTCTAAAAGATGGTTTTTCCTGTGGCACTTTTTCAGAGAAGCCACACACGCCAGAAACTCTAGGGGGCCAAATATTTCACTCTGACCTCCCAGCCAACAGTAACAATCATGCTGAAACCCACTGCCTTCCGCCTGGACAAAGCCTACACGCTATTTAACCTCAGTTTAGAGAACCCCCAAAGTGGACTTCACCACCACCTCTAAATTTAAAATTCTTTTTTTTTTGAACCCATGTTAGGGAAAATGTATGGAAACACTAGATTCCATTGTCTTAAAAGAGCAAGCAGCTTAGTGATAAATGACTTTGCTCCAGATAGATGCTCTGTCACTTGAGGACGAAACTTCCGCTTGAATCATTTATGAGGAGGACACTGAGAGTCCTGTTTCAAATGTCTGGGATTCTACACCATTTATAACAGTACGCACTATTTTATATACTTACGTGCAGCGAAAATGGGGAGCTCCATCCTACATGGGCTGGCTGCTGTTGCAGAAGTTTAGTTCACTCCTCCCCTCGAGAGTTTGCATTTTATTTCTTTATATGGCATAGACCTTTGTTAATTTTTTTCTAAAGGGCTCTCATTTGCTTAAGGCTGTCAATACAAAGGAAGACACTTTTCTTTGAAAATAACCCTAGTGAGGCTGGGGTGGGGTAGGGGTGGACTAAAGAACCAATCAACCACTTAAATGTCAGTAATCATAAAGTTTCTTAAAATTCACAAAACTGTCACTTTTGCAAGAGCTCTAACATTTAGGTATCTGCAGGCCTCTGCAATTCATCATTTCAGTTATTATTTGAATTTATGTGTGTTTTGCTTTACTCCATTTGTTTTGAGTTTTCTCTCACTGGATATAGTGGCATGACCACAGTTATTTGCTTTTCCCTTTTTCTTAAGATTTGCATGTGCTTGTGTTCTGGAGGCCTTGTAGGAGTCCACGGAGCCCAGAATCATCACTGACTGTGTGGGCACTCGGGTGTTGCCACTGCCGTCAATCTTGGGGCTGCTGTCAGCACAGGACAAACCCCAGTGCTGCAGCTTGGAACTCTTATTTGATTTCTTTTTCTTCTCCTCTGTCCTCATGTCAAAGGTTTGCTCCTGAGAACATAATCTGCTACTACTCAGCACCTCCAGGGGCTTGGGGGAAGTCGCCAATGTGTAATTTGATGGATGGACTTCTTCACGGTGCAAGTCTTTCCTTCGTGAAGGGCCTGACTGTGGAGTCCCTTCCTGGCGAGCCTTCGACAGAGCACTAGCAATGAGCTTGCTTCTCCCGGGGCTTTTCAGAGCCCCTGACGTCCCAGGGGCAGTGGGGGGCCTTGCTTTGGCCCCCTTTCCTTTTTCGCTCTGTACAGTCTGGATCTGCAGCCACTCGAGCTGAATAAGTCTATCGACATACTTCCCCAGAAGCCCTCCGGTGTGTGGCACTGCTCCGGTTCTATACTCCGTGTTCAGAAGCACAGCCATGTCCCGCAGGTCCCAGGAGTTAAAAGGGGATGGGAGGAAATCAGGATAGTGGTATTCAGGCTTTGCCTGACCCTGACCTGGGTGCAGATCAAAGTAAACTGGATCAATTTCCTCAGCTCGAAGATTAAGATCTGGAGGTGTGAGGGGCGAAGGAGGAATGGGAATTCTTTCCGAATCAGAGAGATCACTGGCACTGTCCTCATCAGCATCTTCTTTAATAATTTTCAGTGACTTAAAGTCGAGAAACAGCTTGTTCCCGGAGGCCCCCTGACACCTGGAACTGAGTGGACTCCTTTCTGGCTTTCCTTTGGGGGAAATGCTTTCTTTATGTTTATCCTCAGTGAGTTGGGAGACACCGACGAGGCTGCCCTTCAGCTGGGAAGAAACATGGGGGACTTGGGGTTTACTCTGCCTTTTTCCAGAAGCATTCTTTGAACGTTGTACTTTATTCCGAGATGGGCCAGCATTCATATTGCTGTGAGAAATGAAACTGCAATTCTTAGTATATATGACAAACACTGGTCTCGCTATGACTAAAACAAACAAAAAGAATCCTCCAGTTGTACATTTCAGCTATTACTAGGCATTAGAAAATGTACGGCCTCTCAACTCCCTACACAACAAGCAGTTCTCGCAGAACAAGTGACAGAACAATTTTCCAGGTAACACTCTATTAAAGAAACATTATATAATGCAGGTGCCAAAAGTAAATGCCTGGAATCTATTTTATAGCAAATATAAGCATTTAAGAAAAACATTAACATTTCTTAAACTGGTTATATTACAATTTTAGACCAATTGTGTGTACTCTGAAAAACATTAGTTTGGAAAAAATCTGTCATGGAATTCTCAATCTGTTCTGCTAATGATGAGCAGTGTTTAATAACATTAATGAGTAAAATCCACACCTTTCATATGCCTATATTAAATTAAATGTAAATAAGATGTAAAACGCAAGTTTTATAGAACTTAATCACTGATTGGTGGTGATTCTGAGCCAACTAAAATCTTAATATGAAAAAGTGTAGCGTATACAACCTGTACCTCAAACCAAAAGCTTATTAAAGTGTTTTCAAATAGGAAACACTGTGTTTAAAAGGATAGAAATAAAATCATATGGTGCCTTCTAACATAATATGAATGAAAAAATAGAGTTAATGCTATCTCATGAATGGCAGCTAAATGGGAATAATGAAGACTCTGCTCATCACTAGCATAGCAACTGATTCTCTCCGGGGTAATTTATCCTGAGGCAGGATCTCATATCACAGTTGAAAATATTTTCTTTTCAATTTATTTATCAGGAACATAGCATTTTACTAAGATTAATAATACTTCTCAGTCACATAAGTCAGGTGGAGTAAAAGAAATGGGTGGTAAACATGCTTTCTGGAAACCTCAGAGGTTCATTTGTCCAGTGGTTTCCACCACACTAAGCAATTATTTGAAAATGTGTTATCTCTTAATTAATAAATATGGAGAATGTTAAATCATTGCCAATAGCATAATGTGTGCTCTATAAAGGTTGAAGAAATGAATGAAGAAATGGATGAAGGAACTGCTATTATTTAGAACTCATAATAACACTTAAAACTTTTGCTTACCTCTAGCTGTCAGTGTGAATCCATAAAAGTTATTATCAGTATCCTTTTTATAGAAAAGGAAACTAACATGGAAAGATGATTAATAAGCTTACCCAAAATTGTAGATTCTATTAAGAGTGCCAGAATTATGACCGCTGTAATATTTACCAACTAGTCAAAGTGGTTTAAAACCACTTTGCCCACTCATTTTTGCTAGATAAAAAATATAAGTGTATATTTCTTACCCACAGACATATTTTTTTTCCAACCACACATATTCAGTCTGGAGAAGTGAGAATATAATTTTACAAGATAAAGCAATAATACGAAAACTATTTACCTGCTTTTCTGATGAGATTCATTCACCCTATTCCCTTTCTTGAAAAAATCACATGGGTGATCATCATCTAGTGTTTGATGGACTGTCTAAAAACAGACATGCAGTAATAAATACCATGAATACACACACAGGAAACAAAAAAAAACAGAACAAATCGAAGTAACATTTTCCTTCAGAATTTACATCACCTTTTCTGTAGTGCTTGAAATATTCTTGCTCAATCTGTTGGAGGATGATGACAGCTGGGGAAGTGACTTCTTTATTCCTCTTATATTTGGAAAGGACTCCTCACCACCAGAACTAAAAGCAACAGAACACTGCCCGTAAGGACTGATTGCGAATGGTCCCATCACCAGCACTGGGCTGGTTATATTTGCATAGTATGGAAACATTGGTGGGGGATATTGCCTAGTGTTTACAGTTTAATCTTTTTTGCCTGATTGTTTTTCACAGTGGATACAAGATCACACTAGTGTAAATGCTGCGAATGGATTCCCTCCCTCCCTCCCTCTCTCTCTCTGCTTACACACACACACACCCTCCTGGGAAATAACACGTTGAGGAAATTTGTGAGGCTAATTACTGTCAGGCATTACTCCAAAGCTCCCATGTCCATTCATTCATTCTTTCATTCATTCACAGTAATTGCAGGAGTGCCTAGAAAATGGCAGGGACGGTGCACATGTCCCTGCTCTCACAGGGTGTAAACTCTGTTGGGGAAGCTCCCTTTCAGTTCTCCTGCCTTCACTACCACATCAAACCATTAGAAGATTACCGATATATTAATACATATCATGTTATCTCTTTGTGAAACTGTTGACTCATACCACAGAACGCTGCTATTCCCCTCTTATTTTCAGTGGCCTACTAAAAGTGCCCGGATTTGAAAGTGAATACTTTTTTCTTCTGGAATATCCCCTGCCTCTGTAAAATGGAAAAGAGGCGGGATTATAGAAGATTCTTATTTTCTTCCTGAAACTTTGCTGTATTATTTTTCACAATGAGCATGTATGTCTTTTTAGCCAGTTTACATATGATAGTAATAAAAATCCCATATGGGCTCTCACAATTAATAAATCACACCATAATCAGCAGGCTGGATTCATTTTAGATGTAGAATATGTTCTTTACTTTACCAGCCCTCTTTCATTAGTTTGGTTTTCTTTCTGCTTCGTCCCTCTGGACAGTAAAAAAGAACCCTCTAGAATGCCTCGCCCCAAACTGCTTTCTAGAAAGTGCACTTCCGCCTTTTTCACTACATTTCACCTGGCAAGCTTTACACCGCAGGCTGCGGCGCTTCCTCCGCAAAGTTAGTGAAACGAGAGAAGAACGCCTGGAGGCTCCTAAGGAGGCAGAGAAGCAGCTCCCGTTTTCCTGATGGTTCAGGCTTGCACCGGAAAAAAGCTAAAAGTCTGAGATTCTGGCTACAAAAAAAGCTTCCCAAGCGCCAGAGGCTTATTAAGGGCAGCTGTATAATTCATCACAGGGTCTTAACTCTCGTTCCCACATTTTTCTCTCTGGCCCGGCGCCCAGAGACAGACAGAAGCAGCACCGCCCCCTCCCCACCCTCCGGGAATTGGCAGGCGGTCGGGGGCGGCAAAGCATTGTGGGTAATGTGTGGCGAAGACGCTTCTCCGCTACCCAGCGAGGCTCCGTCGGTCTGGCCGAGGGTCCAGGCTGCAGTGCATGTGTGTCCAAAGAGCTGGCTAGCCTAGATGCCTAAAATTAGCCTGGGGACCAGCTCCTGGAAAGGCCAGTTTTTGCACCCTCCCCCGGCCCCCATTAACCCAGAAATCCAAGGAGCGGCAGCATGCATTTTCCGTGTCCTCCGTTTGTGCAGACACAGAGCTATGATCGATGGGCGCACGGGCCAGGCAGACGCAGACAGAAATTGATCAGACCTGTTTCGCGATCGCCGAGGACACGTGACGAGGCCGCCGGCCTTCCTTCGCGGCGCCGGGGCGGGGAGGCCGGCCTGCGGCGCGCTGCGGCAGGGGC